CCAGAACGAGCGTTTTGTGCGAGACTTCCTTCAAAAGTGAGCCGCGGAAGTCTCCAGAACGAGCGTTTTGTACCACGCATTATCATATGACACGCACGATCCTCGCAGAGGGTCGCTCCAGGTCAAACGCGTCAAACGCGATCGACGTTTCACTACACGTTTGAACACTTGGCACGCGCGATCCTCGTAGAGGGTCATGTTACGTGAGCTCCGGCCGGACCTGCGCCGTAAGAGTATAGAAGACACTTATAAAGAAGTGGTTTCGTAGGTGAGATTAAGTGGGTGTTTTTGGTAGGTGGTTTCTCTTGGCTTGCCTTAGGGGCTTTGCTTCTTTAGGATGTTTTTGGGTTGGACTTAGGGCTTCAATGGAGAGGGGCTTAGGGCTTCACTTCTTTAGTCTTTTTTCTTTTGCTTCAGGCTTCACTCCTTTAGGATTTCATGTGGTTGGGCTTCCGGCTTTGCGTCTCTAGGATGTCTTTGGGTCGGATAAGCCTTTACTTCTTTGGGGTCTCTTTTGGTTTTGCTTCGGGCCTCGCTCCTTTAGGGTTTCTTTGGTCTTAGCTTAGGGCTTCACTTCTTGAGGATGTCTTTGGATTTGACTCAGGGCTTCACTTCTTGAGGATCTGTTTTTTTTGCTTAGGGTTTCGATCCTTTAGGTTTTCTTTTGCTTCTTTAGGATGTCTTTGGCTTGGACTTAGGCCTTCACGTGAGGGCTCCTTTGGGATGTCTTGGGTTTCACTTAGGGCTTCACTTCTTCAGGGGGGTTGGTTTGCCTTAGGGCTTTGCTCTTTAGGATGTCTTTCGGTTTCACTGAGGGCTTCAGTTCTTTAGGATGTCTGTGGGTTTGACTCAAGGCTTCACTTCTTTAGGGTTTGGTTCGGTTTTGCTTAGGGTTTCGTTCCTGTAGGGCCACGGTTTCTTTTGGCTTGGCTTAGGGCCTTGCTTCTTTAGGATGTCTGTGGGTTAGACTTAGGCCTTCACCACCACCCCCTCAAAAAAAGAACGCTTCTCAGAAACCAGTCCCCAGAAACCACTTCCCAGAAACCAGTCACCAGAAACCACTTCCCAGAAACCACTTCCCACAAACCACTTCCCAAAAACCACTGCCCAGAAACCACTTCCCAGAAACCACACCACTTCCCAGAAACCACTTCCCAGAAACCACACCACTTCCCAGCAACCACTTCCCAGAAACCACCCCCCGAAACCACTCCCCAGAAACCAGCCCCCAGAAACCACTTCCCAGAAACCACTTCCCAGAAACCAGCCCAGAAACCACTTCCCAGAAACCACACCACTTCCCAGAAACCACTTCCGAGAAACCAGCCCCCAGAAACCACTTCCCAGAAACCAGCCCCCAGAAACCACTCCCCAGAAGCCACTTCCCAGAAACCACTTCCCGGAAACCAGCCCAGAAACCACTTCCCAGAAGCCAGCCCCCAAAAAACACTTCCCAGAAACCACTTCCTAGAAACCAGCCCCCAGAAACCGCTTCCCAGAAACCACTTCCCAGAAACCACTTCCCAGAAACCACCGTCCAGAAACCACTTCCCAGAAACCAGCCCCCAGAAACCACTTCCCAGAAACCAGCCCCCCAGAAACCACTTCCCAGAAACCACTTCCCAGAAACCACACCACTTCCCAGAAACCACTTCCCAGAAACCACACGACTTCCCAGAAACCACTTCCCAGAAACCAGCCCCCAGAAACCACTCC